TCAGAACCCTTTGCGTGTAAATAGAATTTAACATGATATCACTTCTGTACACAGAGAGAGGGGGGGGGGGGGGATATTTAAGAGTTGATAGCCTGCAAATTTCCCTCCAGCGTCCTCGTTTGGATAATTTAGTTGAATCTGTAATCTCTCTCCCTGTCCAGGCTACAAAGCACTGCTCGAGGGTGCCCTGTCTGTATTTGTGGCGAAGATACCAGTCAGACAGCAGACAGCCTGGGAAGCCGACAGACAGAGCAGATAGATTTTCTGAGGCAAAAGCGGGGGGGGGGAGGGGTGGTGGTGAAATTCTGGTGCCGTTTTGAAACCCTACAAACTGTCCTGGAACAAAAACGCCTTAGATACATATGCCAGACATGCATGCACATGAAAGTCTCCTTCCTCCCCCCTTTTCACACGGAAAGACTACAGATCCGTGCTTGGCGTGTTCCCCTTCCAAACCGCCCCAGCTGGTCGGACTTAAATGATGGCCCGCGTCTGCTCCCCAGCGAGCAGGAATATTCTTTTGATCAATTCAATATTGTTCAGTAAATCTTCCACCGGGTTCCGTCCTGGCACTCTCCGCTCCTGCCATTAAAGCCCTTCGAAGCGCTCGGCATGCCAGGGAAACCGGGGAGGCTCGGCTTCTGCCCCAGCCCCAGCCTCACCGCGGACGGGCGATGCCTTTCAGAGCTCCGCTCTCCTACGGCGCTTACCCTTGGCGTTCAAACAAGGCCGCTTGGCCTGGCGACTTCGGGCCCCTGTGAAATCGCCAAATGCCATCCCCCCCCCCTCGCCACCGGGAGCGGCGCTCTTGCTGTGGCCGCCGCCAGGACCCGGCCCACCACCAGCCCTAACCCCGGTTGCCATTCTCCCCGCAGAGACTGGCTATTCTCAAGCGGCACAGAAGACGACAGGACGCAAAAGGGAGTTTCTCCGGGCAAGGCAAAAAGGAGAGGAGGCCCTCTTGAGGTTCTACGGTGGTCGGCCCGGAAGCCTGCTCGAGGTCGCGACCACTTTTGCCGGCCTCCTAAAGTCCTTTATGGAAAAGCAGAGCCTCTGGCTTCAACCTGGACCCCTCTCTCCCCTCTCCCCCACCGCTAACCCGCCAAGAACTAGACCGCTGCCTCTAACGCCTGAAGGCTTCCAGCAGAACGTAACCCTCCAAGCCAACCAGGAGCAGCAGCCGGTAGAAACAGTTCTCCATCTCCCCCCCCCCCGCCGCGCCCCCTCCTTGTGGTGATATTGTTTGTATGTCCCCAAGCTCGACTTACCATACAATGTGTTAATGTGTAGAGAACAGGCCCTTATCAGATTCCTAGGAGGGCCGTATCAACCGCTAACAAAATGAATGCCATACAAGGAACCATTTTATTGGCTAGTAGATGGGAGCCCTTATTATCAATAGGCTTAGCGTTATAAATACAGATCTAAATATAATGAAATAGGACCCCGCCCTCAGCCTAGTTCCGCCTTCACCTTCCAAAGGCTTTTCTCGCCTCGCATCAGGAATCTCAAAGAAAAGTTCCACCCCGGGAGAAGCCCACTCCTTGGCCCGGCGTGTTTGCTTTCCGTTTGCCAGATCAAATAGAAATGAGTCGCAAGCTTTTAAAAATCTTAACGGAAATCCTTTCCAAGTTATTAAAATAATGCTTAAAAAAAAACCCTCTTACCCCGGCTACCTTGGTAAAAGGGAGGGGCCTATTGCGCTGAAGGGAGGGAGGTGAAGGAAAAGGCCGTAAACGTCTGTAAAATCCTTCCCAGTCTAAATAAAATGATGGCGAATTTATAGGCCCTGTTGGAAAGGCCTTTAAAAATAGTGCGAGCGGGCGGGAAGACGAGAGAGGCGACGGATGGGTCAATCAAGGTCTAGGAGTCACATCGAGGAAGGGAAGCCCCCAGATAACACACCTCGGGTGCCTCAGGCCAGTCCTTTGCAGAGTCACTCCCAACTAAACCCATTCAGGTCAAGAGGCCCGGATTGGAGTTACCCCACATGGGATTTACACAGAAAGTGCCGGGCCCACTGGAACTATCCTGCACCGCTACACTTCAGGGGAGGCCTCGTTGCGGAGGAAGAGGAGAAGCGGTGTCTGAGCAGGGACTTTCGCCTTGACTCTCCGGAACCTCCACTACCCCCCCCTTCTCCACAGTGTGACCCGCCCACACACACACACACACACACACACACACACACACACACACACACACACACCCCTCCGCCGTCAGGGGACTGCTTTTATGAGCGCCATCGGTTCTTTGAACCCAAAGAAGGGGACAACAAGCAACCGGCCGCTCACATCCAGGGCATTTTTTTTTTTATGGCTGTCTTTATGGGAGCCCAGAGCCCGGCTCTGACGACGGTCAAGGCACTGGGGGCCTGATCCAGAGCCCGGCGAGGTCAACGGTAAGGCGGCTCGCGTGGAGTGGGAGGCGTTTTTGGACCGGTGTCGGAGCTGGTGAACTCGGCTCGGCGCTTTCTTCAATCGCTAGCGAGGCCAAGCAGCGACCCAGCAGCTACTCCGCATCATCAAAGCCAGTGAAGTTAAACTAATAATGTGCACTTGATTCTTAACTATAAAAGATAATGGTCAATCCTGGAGCAACTAAACTACTTTGGCGGGCATTGTGCATAGCGGCCACATTTTAAACACTTAACAATGTGTCTCGGACATTAAGCAGAGCTTTATAGCATTTCTTGAGACTATTATGCTGGGCACAGGATGAGGGATGGCTGCTTTTTCATTTGGCCCCTGCCAACAAACTCGGCCGGGGGGGGGCGGTCGGAGGCGATAAAGCAAGAGGCCGGTCCCACAACCGCGTTGCTCCGAAGGACGAAGGAAGCAGCCTGGTCAGTGTTCCCTCTAAGCTGAGTTGGTGTGAGCTAGCTCACCGTTTTTTAGCCTCCGGCTCAGACATTTTTGTCTTAGCTCAGGAAGGATGGCTCCAGAGCAAACTAATTTATGCAGTAGCCAAATCCCTCGCCCACAACTTTAATGCCAGTAGCTCGCAAAGAAGAATTTCTTCTCACAAGACTCCACAGCTTAGAGAGTACATTGAGCCTGGTACCAGGGAGTAGGTTTTGATAGCAAAAACGTCTTTTCGAGTCGGTGGCCGAATCCTCCATCCAAATAAAACTTTATTGATCCATGAGAAATATAATGGCTAGATTAATAGAGGTGTTGAGCTGTTTTATGAATTTGGACTGAATAAAAACAAACAAACCCCAAACTCGAAGAGATAAATAAGACACCAGACCTCAACCCAGAGCTTATTTAAAGTCTTTCTTTCTTTCTTTCCTTCTTTCTTTCCTGAAGAGTGGTTTACTCATTTATTATTTCCACGAGGAACCCAGAGGTAGAGAACACTGTTAATCAAGGGACGGCCGTTCTGCTTGTATGCTAATTAAGGCGAGCTTTATATTCTTGACATGGGGCAAACTGAGGGGGGGGGAAGGAAGGAAGGAAGGAAGGGAAGGAAGAAAGGGAAGGGGCATCAAAGCTGACCACGGGACTGCGAAAGCTGCCCGCCCTTCAGTCTAAAGCGGCAGATCGCGTTTTGTAAATCCTGGCCTAAATTAATGCAATCAGTGAGTACTTCTTTAATATTGGACGTGTCACTTGTCAAGAATGCGACCGCGTGCCAACCCAGTTTTCCCTCTGGATAAATTCCCAAACAGGCGGCTTTCCATCAGGCAGTTTAAGAACCGCATCTCCGTGCCAAGAAAGGTGACAAATGGCTATCCCAGTAATTTTTATCTTCACTTCGAAATTCTTTCGTGGTAAAAAGGGGAAGAGAGGAGAGGGGGGGGGAATAAGAATGACCTACAGTCGAGTTTGGAGAGATTTATTCCCTTTCAAATCCAGACTGCCTTAGCGTCTTAAACCCCAATGCCTCTGGCAGCTTGAATTCTGGTCTGGCTGGATTCCTGCGCACCGTTTCTGGTGAGTTAGTTTCCCATTGATATGGATGGGATTTATGTGCGGGAAACCAGAGCAGGATCGCTGCCAGACTTCACTATGCTGAGGATGTTGATGGGGAAGGAATTCAGACGGGGACCTCTTTCCCCTCTCAGGGCCACAGCCTCGGGTTCGTTCACGTCCATTTACTGGGACGTAAATTCAGTTTGAAGTCAAGGGCACCTCTGCCAAGTAAACGTGCAAGAGAGCGCTGAGGCCTGGGCCAAGTCTCTAGGCTCGAAGCTCCCGAACACCCGAAGGACGCTTTGAACTCCGACGGACTCAGTGCTCGCCACAGTTTAAAGAAGAACTTAAAAAAAAAAAAGCATTGGGCAGACCGGAGGACCTCTACTTAGAAAGAAAACCTGCGCCTCTTTCAGGTGCCTCAAAACTATAAACTTACAGTCCACTCCTAAAGCGAATCATACCTTTCTGGGGCCATTGACGCCAGTGGATTTCGAGGGACTGTTTAGGATTGCACTGCTGACGCGCTGCCCCTTTGGAAAATGGGTTCCCGTAGGGCGCTTCCCTTTGCAGCCTCCGAGTGGTTCTGAATACAGAAGGAGGTGAGTGAAATCTGCAGGGTGTATTGATCTGCATATTAATCCACCCGAGTCGACTGCGAGGCACAGAAAACAAGAGGTTGCAGTTTAAAAAAAAGAACTACACCATGCGCCTACTCGTAGCTATTTTTTGCTTTCGGCGCGATCTGGCGAGGCGCTACTGCTTTCAGACTCAGACACAAGCACCGCTCCATCAAAACATGATCTTTCTGGCTGCAAATTCTGAGCTCATTTTCCTGGAAAGACAATCCCATCCCAAGCAACAACTTCCCCACGGAAAACAACGTTGGCTTCCAACAGCGCTTCCACCATAGCCGGCTGAAACAAGATGTCAAAAAGAATAACCAGGAAAGGCGGGAGGGGGAGCCTGTCCTCGTGTGGGGCTCCCCACCCATGCCCATTTGCTCACAAGTAAGCGCTGTTCCTTTCACCGGGGACTAAGTCCCAGGGGGTTGCAGCGTCTCCCTGAGAAGAGACATGGAAAATAATATCGCTTACTCAGCGACAAACGGCCAGTAGTTTAGCATTCTCCGCTTCCCAATTTAGGAGAAGGGGGGGGCCTAAGAAATATGCGCTTCCTTGGCAACAAAAGCCTCTTTTCGAATGAGGCCTGTAAGCAACTACTTTATATCCAGTGGGTTCTTTTAAGCCACTGCAAGTTAGACATTTACATTCTGACAAAGAGAGAAGCCATGGAAAAATATATCGGCCATACTAAACCCTTTTGGGGTTTCTTCTTGCAATAGAGAGGGGTCCTCCATATGTCTTTTTTAAACGGATGGTTATTGGGGCATCATCTCTTAAACCCAGTACTTCTCAAGCACCGCCCATCCCTGATTACAAGCCACGCTGCCGATCAACGTCTCGAAATTAAACTATGAAACAAACACACGTTGGTTGCGGGAAGTCCGAGCACTGCAGTCCCACACAAAATAAAGAATCGGCTTCCTTCCCATCGGAAATAGCCGCCGCAAGTTCCGAGGGTCCCTCCATAATAAACCTTCAACACAGACTTCAGCAACCCAGTTTTAAATAGACCTTAAGAAGAACGGAGGCTTCTAACGTAACACACAGCTTGGGCGAAAATAAAAACGCAGAATTAATACAAGTTAACCCCACCGGCGGACTTCCCAAAGAAGTGGTGGGCTTGGGGGAAGGTTCGTCTATACAGAGAGGCCATATCACAAGGTCAGTCCATTGCTTCCCTTCAGAAAACAGGAATCTCCCTTCCAGGCATCGGTCACAGTATTGTCCTCTGTATCCTAAGCATATCACAGGCAAGTCAACCCAAGAGATGAAGGACACCGATCTTTCGAGTCGTGGGGAGGGGGGGGAGAAAGGAGGGACATGTAGCAGGAACCTAAAGGTCCAGAAAATTGGGTTCGGCGGGGTTTGCGTCGCTGCCTCTGGGCTTCGGCCTACCGCTCTAAGAATCCAGTTCACTGTACAGGTCCTATGCAATGCTGATGGGATCTAGGCCCTGCCCTCAACGGCCCAGCGTGGTCAGGCCGAGGATGCCAAGCCAAACCCTGAGCTGTTAAGCTGCCTTTCACTTGGCGTCACTCTCAAAATACTTTCACATAAACATACTAGATAGAGATCAATAGAGACGTTTGGAGCTCCAGGCTCTCTCCAAGCACCGACTGCCATTGAACATTTCTTGCTGCACCAAAGGGGCTTTCGCTCTTGGAGTCCAAGGATATCGATTTCCACCTTCCGCTTAGAAATGGGGGGGGGAGGGAAAGTGACGTTGGCCTCAGAAGAAAAAAGGCTTTTAATAAATGCTGCTGTTAACCACACACTGATGATCTTTGCCAAACCGGAATGAATAACCTACGGCTCAGATTCAATAAGGCCATCAAAATAATCTGCCATTTTCGGTCTTCGCTGCAATAGATCTAGTTGATAGAGAGCACCTCTTGCTCTGCACATAAACGTCAAGATTCATAATATTTCCAGGGGTGCAGTTTTCATAAGGATTTCACCGTCCTGGCTTACGTTTGTTTTACCACCACATGGCCTGCGCATTAGAGTTCTACCTGAAACCTTTCTCCAGGTTCCCGCTTTCCAAAGTTTGCACACCCAGAATTAGGAAGCCTTAAAAAAAAGAGTTGTTTAAAGACCTAACGGAAAAGACATCCACACCCATGGCCTTTCCCTTCCAAACAGGCTTAAGCAGATATAAAGGTTACTCGGGCTGTACCTTGGTAAAAGGTCCTTCCTCTTTCCAAGCTGAGGCTCGAAGGAAATACTCACGGCTCTGGCGCGCTCGCAGCCCGAGGAAGTCAGTCCTGGATACAACTTCTGGACTCTCGCTTTATTCCCCTTGAAGGAGCGCTCAACTGCCTTCGGCTTACCTTAGCAAATCTGACCGTGGAACGTGAAATAATATAACGTGCAACTCCTAGAATGTAAAGGGAACAAAGGCCAAGAATCCCCCCCTTCCTCCCCCCTCCTTCTCCCACTACGGCTTTGACATTGATCTGAAGGACGCCATCTTGTGGCGATCCTGCTCCAAAGCAGGACAGACCTACCAACCAATCCTCCCTGATGCTCTCTTTAACAAACAGATACTACCGCTCCAGACAATTGCCCTGCACGGATCTAACCTCTGCAGCTCTGAGATGGCCGCGAATCTTCGCCCTCGTTTATAGGCCTGCTTTCCAAAGATGCAAACTGGCAGGTCATGGGCACTTGTATGGGTCCCTCGTCCCAGCAACGCCCGGGATGTGCATGTGCTTTAAAACATACACACACACACACAAACTGCGACAAGTAGTGGGCCAGGAAATCACCATCTCCTCCACAGCCCAGAGAAACGCCATGACTCAGGCTAGCCATGAGTAACCAGTTAATTTTTAACTAGGAAAGGAAGTGGCTGGTCGGACGTTTTATGACCATCCGTCTATTCCTCTGCGGGTCTGTCTCCGCTTCTCCACCTCTCTTTCTATCTCCCGCTTTAAAGAGCTGCATTCCTTTGTAGCATGCTAGCCAAACAAACAAACAAACAAGTTTTCCTCTCCGCTCCACTCCCCCCCCCCTTCATCTTTGTACATTTCCTTTGACCAGACGCTGTCTGGCTTGGTGGGGGTTGTCAGCAAAAGCCCAGAGCCATTTAGCCCTTCACCTCAAGGTTATGGGTGATGTCCAAAGCAATACAGAAGTTCAAAGCCAATAAACAATAGGGAAAAAAGGTATGTGCTTTCTTTCCTGATTAAGAACAAAAGGGAAGAATTATCAGCCTCCTGTCACCTCCTCACGAATGTCTCTGGGGTTTTTCAGTCGTCGTCCCCCTGCCCCATAGATCTCTGCAAAGCATTTCGGTCCCAATCACATGCCTGTTGCCCTTCAGACAAAACTGTTTTCCTAGGAGCCACTCACAGCTATCTCCGGCGCAGCTACAAATGCCATTTTGCAGAGCGAACTCCGCCACAAACATTGCTTATGCTTTCAAACAGTGCTTTTAAACACAGGGTGTCTGAAATAACCAAGAGCACCTTGAAGCCAGCTAATGCATGAGCTTATCTGGCGTGTTTTACATCTGCTAACAACCCCCCCATAAACTCTGTAATTTGCCATTATTTTAAAGGTCTGATCTCCCCCCCCCCCAAACCAGCAAAACCTGGCCTCATTCTAGCTGGACTCTGCCTACGCATTCATGAATACCAGACATGTTGCTCCGGCCTGTCCTGAATGACTAGCAACAATAGGTGAGTGGAATTTTCGCCCCAGCATCTCAGTCAGCCTGATTCAAAACCTCAGACCAGATAAAAGAATCCCCATGAATGTAACACTAAGGATAAAAATATAAATTTCCCACATGTTTATTTTAGTTGTGCACCGTTCCACTGTATACATGCAACCAAAGACGTTCGCATATTAAAAAGAAATCTGTATATACAAATATGACCATACATATTTCAAACAGTGATGGGCTATAAATGTATTGCATTTTGTGAACTGTGTAAAGAAATTGCATCCATCTTGGAAGGTGGTAATTTTTAAAAACAACCTACACGGTGTGTTTCACATCTTTTAAAAAAAGACAAACCCGACACCTTTTCAAAAGTATACCAACAAAAACATCATTTTTAAAATGTACAAGTCTTGAAAAACACCATTCTTGTATGAAATATACATTCAGATATTCTCAACAGCAAATGACCTTTACAATAAAACACATATTCTTTGTAAACTGATATAGAATTTTAAATAGTTCTTTTTTTATCACGGTTCTCTCTCTTTCTCTGTCGCTTTGGTTCCTGCTGGGAAATATATTTCTTTATATATACTTAAAATAACTCCAAGGAACTCTCCATTCTTTGATTCTGCTGTCTGAATGACCAAGTAGAACTTACGACATTAACAGTGGACAGCAAGGTTTGGAAACGAATTCATCCTATTTACATCGTTGGCTTTCTACATTAAGGTCTGTCTGCTGGGCCTTCTAAGGAAACCTTTCTTAGTTTAAGGGTCTGATCTCAGTGCATTGGATACATCCAAAGTCAAATTAAGTGTCGCGCGGTCTTTGCCAAACTGTCGTTGTCCACAGGTATTTCCTGAAGAAAGATTGTGAGACAGAAGCCAGAAGCTTCCTTAAACTGATTTACCCTTTTGCAAGTATTAGATTAGTCCTTCTGTATCCCTCTCTCCACCGCTCCCCATTGTTTAAGCACATAAATACAAACATTATGATTTGTCTCAAAAAGGGTGGCCACATTTCGACAGTCGTTACTCATTAAAACGAGAGCGAATTCGAATTGCTAGGAATTCGCCTGGTCCGTGATTGTTTCTTTACCATATATGGCAAAGTGGTACCTGAAATCGTTTCAAAAGGAGCTCGTCAAGTCTTATAGGACATTTCTCTCGCTAACGCAGCACAGTTATATTCAACGTCGGTTCTCAGCAGACATTTATGATTGGCCTTGCAAGGAATTAAGCATTTTTTTAAAAGCATTTTAGATTTTAATTGGTAAGGAGGGTAAACCTTCTTGTGGAAGACGAGGGAGGGAAGGAAGGGTAATGCGGGACAGCCGGTTGTGCATCTATAGCAAAATAGGGAAGGGGGCATTTGAAGATTCTCTTTTTTGGCTTGGCTTTTTTCATTTATCCTCAAACTCGGATGCTGCCATGTGTATCCTTCCAACCAACGCTCCACAGTAAACCAAGTTAATAAAGTTCAAATGATTCTGAAGCCAATACTTCACTCCCCGTTAACAGAACTGTGGTGTGTGAAGATAAGAAGTGGAAACTGAACGCGGACCAAAAGATATTGGGCTCCAAACTGATTCCAGTTGATACGTCAAGCAGGACTTCAAAAAGAAAAAAAAATCTGTACTTTTGCTTTAAAAGAAACACGAGGGGGGGACACCTAGTTTTTCAGAGTCCTCCATCATCTTACAAAACTTCTTCTCATAGGTAACCTTGTGGCTTGACCTTGTCAAGGGCGAGATCTGAATTTAATCTCGTTCTGAAAAATGCTACGAGTTTTAAAGTAGTGGATTAGCTGAGTAATATTGTAATCGGTCCCTGTTAATTTTTTTCTCTTTCATTCTTCTGTTTTGAAACCATATTTTTACTTGACGGTCGGTCAAGTTGAGCATTCGGGAGAGCTGGAGGCGTTTCTCTTTGTTTATATAGACACTGAAGAAGAATTCCCTTTCTAATTCTCTAATCTGATATTTGGTGTATGGGCATCTCTTTTTACGGGTACGTTGTCCACCTGTGGAATGAAAAGATAAAGGCAGAAGCCAGTGAGTCTGGGGCCATATGGATGAGGGAGGGATGGCGGTACATATTTGATCAAGGGACACTCATGTGAAAACAAGCCTTTGGCTTACTACCTGGCTAGTTCTCTCCTACTCAGCATTTATGCACATATTAAATTAACCTTAAGTAAGAAAAAAAATCCCTTGTGCATGCCACAAGGGAAGATAATGGCATGGAGCATCCACTTCAAACGACAGACCCACAGCGTCATCCTGTGCAGGCCTAATCAAAGGGAATATTGCTTGAGTTCCCTAGGTAAGGAAGCGTGCACAGGATTGCCTCCCAGGATGGACAGTACGCCCCGCAGGCACAGTGCCGAGAAGCACAAGGCGGAACAAATGCTGAAAGCAGGATTCTACCTAGACCAGGGCTTGTGCAAGACATTTGGAAAGGTTGTAGCTAAAGATGGGTCACCCAAGATGAGAGCTTCAACCGTGTTCTTCAGTCTGAGGAGCCTACTGAAATTTCAATTTCAGCAGTCATGGGCTGCCATTCTAAAAACACCCTGCTAGAGTAAACCCCATAACATAACACGGGTCTCATTTTCAAATGGACCTGCTTAGGAACAGTCCAATAGTACCTTCCAAATGGGTGACAGCTCGTATGCCTCCCTGCTTATTGAGGATGCTTTTAATCTTAAACTTCTCCTGCTGTTGCTTTTCTATGCCTCCTTTTCTTTTCTTTCTTTAGAAAATACCCATCCCTCTGCATATGACCACCAGTAGTTAAGCCTACGGGCCCTGCTGCTTTGTTCTGAAGTGCCCCCCCCCCATATTTTCTCCCTTCGCTGCGTCTCATTCCTCGCCACAGTGGCTGTTACGTTTTTGAAGCAAAATTAATCTCTTCTGAAGCCCATTTATTCGTCCTCTCCCCCGCACGCTTCCAAGGCCTTTTACATTACATATTAGTGCTACCTTCTATTTTTTTTTAAAAAAAGAAACACAACAGCGCTCCCTTTCCTAGTACATCTCGGCTGCAAGGGTATTTTCCTGCTCTTGACTTCTGGGGTGGGGTGGGGAGAGAAAAATGCCACATTAAAAAACAAAAAACCAAACCGGCTGTGACAGATTGAATAACAATTGCAAGGAACAACAAACTGTTGGACAGACGGCAACACGTAATTGCCACAGTGCCTTAGGAAAATGGCTTCCTTTAGACAAAAAAGGGCCAGCTTTAGGTTAATTTGTTGCGTTTAATATATTGCTACAATGCAGGCGGCTACTTTATCTGTTCAACACTATTCTCGTGCAATCGTTAAAAACAGGGATGGCTTTGAATCCAACCCTCTAACTAGGCTTCTGGGGCAACACATGGCTTTTATAAAAAAAAAAAAAAAAGGAAAAAAATCACAGGATTACATGGATATCAAAGGAGTCTGAAATCCCCTTTTGGGCGAATTTTACAGGCGCAAAACGTGCGTTATTATATTTTCGAGACTTTGAGTATAGAACCTCCCCCCCTTCCCCTCTTTTTTCTTCTTTTTTTTGATTTAAAGGGAGAAAAACTTTTTTTCCCTCTCCCCCCCCCAAAAAAAAGGCATCCATTGGCCGGTGGGTATTTCACGGCCAATTTCAGTCCTCACCACGTGATCTCGCCTTTTATAACAAAGTTTTGTTGGGGGAAATCTAAAGGCCCTTCATAAACCTTATATGCTTATAAAACAGCATATAAAAATTTAACAGCGGCGCTGCGCTAAGATTTCCAAGTCCCTTTCATAAAAGCGCTAGGGCGCTGCCTTTATACGTACTGGAGCCGCTGGATTTCTCCTCATTGTTGCCGGAAGACGAGCCTGGGCTGCTGCTGCTCTCCAGCCGCCGCCGTCTCTCCTTCTCCTCTGCCGCCGCCGTGGCTGCTGCCGCCGCCGCCGCCACCACCGGAGCGGCTCCCGAGGCCGGCGCTTTCTCGCCGCTCTTCTCTCCGGCGTAGTCCGCGTGGTTCTCCGCCGTGCCATAGGCGGTCTCGAAGAACTGGTCGAAAGCCTGGGGCAGCACCCCGTTCCGCCCCACCGTGCTATAGAAATTGGAGGAGACGTTGTTGGTGCCGGCCGCGGCGGGGTGGTGGTAGACGTTGGCCGGGCTTTTGCCGAACATCTCGCCCATGCTGGCCGCCGCCGCCGCCGCCGCCGCCGTGTTGGTGGCCGGCAGGCAGTCTCTGTGCATGATCTCCTCGGCCGAGTAGCAGTGGGGGAGATTGTTCCGGGGGTGCCACTTACTGGCCGGATCAATGGCATACTCCCGGAAGGTGACTTCTCGCACAGGTTGGACCTGGGGTAGGTTGGAGGAGTAGGAGTATGTCATGGGGCGAGAAGACGGGGTCTGGGGCAGGAAGGAAGGGAGGCTGGAGAAATCAGGACCCGAAACGTAGTAAGTACAACTTGGCAAATACATGTTAGAGGAACAAGGAACACGCTCATCAAAATCCATCATTAGGCTACCTCGGGCTCTCCGCATTAGCCGAGCTTAACATGATTCTCTAATGCAGCTGCCTCTTTGAAGCAGATCCGTGAAGTAAGAAATTTGGAGACGTAAGCTGACGTGGAAATCTATCCCCATCCTTAGCAGGGAGGCGCTGGTCACGTGACCAAATGTTGAAATTGACAAGCTGCGAGTAAGGGCCCTCTCCCTCCCTCCCCCCCCTCCTTCCCCTTCTTTGTAGCCATCTCAAGGGAAGCAACAGATCGTCACTTGGGTCTTTTGGCCAAAGCCAAGAAATCTTAAATGTAACTCAGGCGGGCCTCGTGGATGATTAGGGGGGGGGGGGAGGGAGACGCGTGGCCCCTCTTTCTTTCTGTCCTCCTCAGCGCATTTCCCTTTCTCTCCCTTTTCTCACCAGCTCCCCCCGCCCGCCCCCGCCCGTATCGGGAGATCTCGAGCCCATTAAGCAGGGGATGCAATTAGAAACGCGCGCGGAGCCCCCCTCCCCTTTCCACAGCTTGTTGAACGGCTTCGGAGAGGTGCCGGGTAATCTTGTAATTCTGCCCAGGCTCTGACTGCTGGGAAGCCGGGCTCCGACAGCCTCGGGTCCCTGTGATGTGTTCCTGCCGAAGACACTCACTCACTCACCCAGCCCCGCAGGCTTGTGCTGAAGACGTGGTCGGGAAGAATGTGCCGGGGTCAAGTCTGTACCGATTTCCATGGTGAAGGGATGACACGACTCGCCCTCACGTTCATTTCCGAAGCGCTCAGAGCCCTGCCTGCCTTCCCTTCCCTACATGCTAACCTCGGGTAGCCTGGGCGGCTGCAGCACAGCTCTGCTCCAGGTATTTCGTGATACTTGATGCTCGCCCAGCCAGGCTCTCCGCTCTCTCCACTCCCACATGCGTGAAAGCCAGTGGCTTGGATTTTATTGTTCCTTGCCATGCCAGGAAATCTTTTGAATTGCAGCCCACCAGGTTAGAGAGAGAGAGAGCATTAGCCGAGCTAAGCGAAATCCTTGAGGAAACCAAGGACAGGTTAAGCGATCCACACGTCACACCGACCCTGAAACGTACTCCTCGGAAGTAAGTCCCGCCGATTGCACTGGGTTCACTGCAACCAGTAGACTCTCCTTGCTTAGAACCGGCGTGTGAACGTCTAGGGTGGTTGTGAGACAGAAGAGAGCCTGGCCCGGGAGATGCTTCGCCCTTCCTAACAAAGCTGCCGAGAGAATTTGGCCGAGGAAAGGGCAGACTGAGAGAGCGAGAGCCCCAGCCTGCACTCCAGTGCACAGACTTGTGAGTAGGGCCCGCTGAACTCAGTGGCATTTGCTTCTTGAGTAAGCAGGCACAGGGCCGGGCTGCACATAAAACCCTTTTACACACTCGCAACCCAGGGAGAGCCAAAGAAAGCAGGGAAGCGGGGCCAAACAACACAGCAACACCTACAGGAAGCCGGTCCCGCTCTTCTGCACCGTTGTGCTACAATGGGGATGCAGAAAGGTTGCTTAGCTGGGTCTAATTATCACAAGGGGGAAAGGCCACAAAACAACGGATTCTGGGTTTGGTGCAGTCTGGGAACCGAACAGATTTCCTATCTTTCTGGGAGGCGGGAGGGAGTGGACCTTTTTGTAAACTATGGAAAGGAAACTTGGGATGGGGAACGGGTGGGGGGTGGGAGAAATCTCACTTTTAAATATACACTCTACTGTTCCCTGAGATGTAATCCTGTATTTATATACGGGCGAGTAACAGCCCTACTGTACATACTGGAGATCCTCGGGATTTAAATGTCAGGATCGATTTGTTTATTTATTGCTGAGCTTATCCTAACTGACTCAATAACAAATCTAATCATGTTGGATCTTGGGGGGTGGGGAACTCTCATTATGTATTTTTCCTGTGTTCGATTTAACTATACTAAGCTTTAAATATCAATATTAACCAGTAATTACTTTGTAGTGGTGTAAACGAATGTATTAGCATGTTTATATGCCTTTTACCCCCCCCACACACTTTCTTTCTTTCTCTTTCTCTCTCTCTTTTACAAGGGCTACCAATCGCAAATCAAAGGCTTTGGACATATCCCTTTAATGAACTCTTTATTTTGGATCGCCGCAAGAACTTTTATGGGCCTTCAACGTTTGTGAGCTGAACTTGAAATTATTAATTAATCTCCTCTGCTTGTCCTATTTGCCAAGAGAGTGGATGAAAACAGGAGATAAGCGTGTCATCAAAGGACTATTTACAGATCGCTTGGGTCTGTGTGGGACTATAAAACGGTTTTATTTCTTTTCTTTGGGGGGGGGTAGGGGAAAGGAGCAGAAATATGCGACACTGATGCTTGCCAATTGTTTTTAACGAGAGCCTTTTGCTTTTATTTTCCCTCTGCCCTGTTTTTTTTGGGGGGGGGGTAAAGAAAAGGTTTCCTTGCCCAACCTTCCCTTGCTCCAGTCCTTGATATGAAAAATGGATTCATCCCCTTCCTTTCCCCTTTCTCCCGACACATTGACTCTCTGAAGGATTCCCCCCCCCGTGGATAACAAAGGCGCCACCATTGCATAGACTGGCCCCGCCTCTTCTGCCCTGGCAAACAACTTTCTTTGCACTTGTGTGTGTGTGTGTGGGGGGGGACTTTTTCAAGCTCTAATTGAACCCGACGCGTCTAGGAGAACCAAAAGCAGTTCTAGACTGGCCGGGGTGGGGGGAGGGGGGTTTATGGCACTTTTGGCAGTCAACTTCAGCTTGTCTCGAAGCAGACAACGGCAGAGCTGACCAGCGTAGGATAGGAGACGCCACCTACGTGGATTCCCCTCCTGGCCTTCAAGAAATCTGCGGCAGCCTTGGGCATACAGTAAGGGGGGGGGGCAGGTTTGAGAGAAGGTGGTTTGTAGGACCGGGCGCTGGAGCCCTTTGGCTGGCCATTTCCCTCGGAGCCCTGCCTGATCAATCCTTTCAGACAAAGGAGAAAATTAAGGATCTGTTGGGAGGGAGGGAGGGAAGGGGAGACCAACTAAGAATGAACCAGGGCGCGCGCGGGGGGGGGGCTTGTCTGCAGCCTTAGCGTCCTCCTGTCTCGCGTGGATTATAGGTTGTGGCTTTGCAGAGATGCCTGGAGGTTTTAGAAACCTGCCTTCTAAGGCAAGGGAGGGGGAGGGGGTGCCGGGTATCCTGCCAAGCGTTTGCATTTGCAGAGCCCTTCGAGAGCATCATTGAAAGGACCTAAGGGTGCCGTTCGTCTGGGAAGCAGGGAGCACCCAAGGCACAATTCTTCGCTTTATTCCCTATTAAGTGAAAGGTAGCTAATGTGCATCTAAGCCTTCGAAGCGGTCGGTAATGACGGCCAGCCTGCTGCTAGGTTGCTATTTTTGAACGCCTTAAGGAGGCTTTTTGTATGCTTTCTCCACGAAATGCTGCTATAATGCAATATTTGTGACTTCCTGGCTTGGGAGGGGGCTGGGGGGAGGGGGCGGAGAGGAGGGAGCATCTCCAGCCTGGCGCCCTCCCCGCTTACCTTGGGGAGACTCGTGATAATAGCAGCAGGCAGCTCCGTTCAGACAGAAAATGCAGAGCTGCGGTTGCGTGGAAGGAGCCGGGGCGGGCGGGGAACAGAACGTCGCTGTGGAGGTTTGGTGGAGATTATAGGATACCACAGACACTTACACAAAAAAGGGACAGGAGTTTATGTAAATATAGATTATTTTGGTTTTTTAAAAATGCACAGTTCAAAATGTTTCCTTTGTTCCACAAAATCTCCGTTCCATAACATGCAAACGCCTCTTCTTCTTTTAACCTACAAGGTGTTCTGAAAGACATCTGCTTTATACAAATAGATGCGCACGTATATGCGGCAACGTGTTTATAGGGGGGAAAACAGATTATAGCATTACTTTGCCATTCCGTGCATGTCACACACAAATATCTAACCGAAATGTATTCCCCCCCCCCATCCTAAGCGCAAGGAAATGAATTCCAAGGAAATTACTTTCAATTTAGATTTAGGGGATTTGTGATGATAATCTGTTCAATGTGTTCTTTGTGTGTGTGTGTGCTGTGGTTGTCTTATGGTGAGATATGTCTAATCTCTAGGTACTGGCACAAAAATAAATATAAGAACATACAATTTATTTAAAGCTTCCAAACAAGAAGTGGGAAGCTATTTTACCAATCCATGGCTTTTCTTTTAGAATGAAAGCAATGCCGTGCTATTGCAACACAGCTTGTCAAATACAGATTTTAATGCAAACGTCCTCAAGCCATTCTTCCGCGCACTGTATTCGCTGTGCTGTTTTATTAGTCTTCTAAAATACATTTTTTAAGGTGGGGGGGAGAGCCTGCTTATATAGACCTATGAATAAATTCAGGTGGAGAGCTCCTGCCAAGTGAAACACTTTTAAATCCCACTAATTCCAGTAGGTCGGATTTCCGCTTGTGATCCCATCTCAGTCTATGGTATTTAAGGGCCGTTAACTCATGTTTCCAAAGTTATTATCTATTTGAAATATACTTAAGATAGTGTCTTCTTCCCTATAAGTAATGAATTTTTAACAAAATACAGTAATTGTTTCTGATGTTGGTTGCCCACTACATTTAGATTCGAAAAGTGGGCATGTTTAACTCCAAAGTGCAAACAAATAATAGATAAATAAGGTGTCTTTTTGTTGCTTTCTGCAGTAATGCTAATTTGTTTTGGAAGCAAGCCGTTGATGGAGGTTAAATATTCAATTAAATATTTAGTCTAGATCCAATCTTAACTAGAGGGGGAAGAACACACCTTGAAAATCAATGGCCATGATTCTGGAAAGGTTAAGCTCTCTTAGGTGCCGCTGGTTTCAACTAGAACAAATTTAGGCACGCAATTAACTCTATCATCGAAACAAATGGGACTTAAACGTGTTTAAATTTACTTGGAACCTGCCCAGACAGATTTTATTCCAAGTCTGTTTTTAGATTCGGGTTGTTAAGAGAAATAAGTAAGTTCCGTTTTCACTTCATACCCTTATTTATCAAGGAATAGAATAATTAATAAATATGACGTAAGTTTTCATTCACATAAGGACAGCATGTAACTTTATGA